GCCTCCCCCGTGAAGGGGAGGTCAGTACTTGGAAGCATTTGACAAGTACAATGACAACTATACTAAGTATAATCAAAGTTTCAATTTCCAAGACCCTCACATAGGGTGACAATATAATATAGGTCATAACCCGTGGTTACCCTCTTTGAAAATATACTTACTTTATATATAAAGTCAAGTAGTCGGCCCGAAGACCCATGTTTTACTTTGAAAACGTTCAACCCTTTCCCCGTGACTTCAAACCACGCCCATCTATATTAAATTCACCATGCTAGAGGCTTCCTCTAGTCATGTTTTGCCGTGCTAGAGGCTTACTCTAGTCACTAAATTCGGTGTTAGAGGCTTCCTCTAATCACCTTACATACTTTGTGCTGGAGGCTTCCTCCAGTCACATTACATTATGCTAGAGGCTTCCTCTAGTCATCCTACACGAATGCTGGAGGCTTCCTCCAGTCATTCTTCATCGTGCTAGAGGCTTCCTCTAGTCACGATACTAGTTCGTCCTACACGAATGCTGGAGGCTTCCTCCAGTCATTCTTCATCGTGCTAGAGGCTTCCTCTAGTCATGGTACTAACTCACTAGCAAATTCTATGCCTAGAGTTCCTCAATCTTGAGTAGCCAATGAGGCCTACTCCTAGTGTAACTTAGTGGTTACCCATTCCTACCTTAAGGCATCTCATAAGACTACTTAAGGTGCATCCTTCACAATCCAAGTCCTTAGGATTGTTCTATCACTTTTTATACAACATTCCCGATTAGTAAATTAAATACTAATCCATAAATCTTTAAACAGCCAAGCTCCTTAACTCATAGTTATAAGGCTCATTCCTATCGATTTTCTAATCCGTATACGATTTAATCTCAATATCAAAAATATCACTTTTATCCATTCATGATTTCTATACATGAAGTAAAAATATATTTTATCACAAAAATTCATGGTTTATACAATCATTATACCTTCACATTTATTATGCATCATCATACACAATCTCTCATAAATTTGTATGTTATGCATCTTCTATTCACAAACAATGATATTTTCATTTAGGCATTATTAAGCATTAATAATCCATGAAAATCACATTTAATTACTTTAGGTAATCTTATGAAATTAACCCAAAGATTATAAGCAATATAGTCAGCCATCCTCACCTTATGAAGTGCTGCAATAGTTGCCTTTGTTAAGCCCTCCGATCAATCCCCGTTCTCAACCGATTGAAAGTGAAATTCTGGGCAGGAGGTGAAAGCCGGGCGGCTTTCACGAAAGCTGGGCGGCTTTCGTGGTCTGCAACTACGAACAGCCTCCTACACTTGGCGGTTTCCGGCGGTTTCAACTCCTATCGATTCCACGACTCTTCTAAGTTAAATACCACCACTTTATAACAATATTATACACTTTTAAACGTGTATAACTCCACCTTTAATCCACCATATGATTTCTTAAAAATCATACAACATAAAACTAGTTAAAAAGAACTAGTTAAGTTCTTACCTCTCTTCTAGCTATTTTTCTCTTGAGCTCCCCTTCCTTCTTGATCCCTCCAACACTGATTTTTGTGAGAGCTTATCCTTGAGCTCCTCCCCTCTATGGCTGGTCGAATGGCTAGGAATGAAGGATGGGATATCTCTTTCTCAATCAAGTGAGAAATAATGTGAGAGTAAGTCAACGAGGGGTGTGGGTTTTGTCTCCAATCATCCCCTCTTGCATGAGTCCGCCCCACCCTATATTTTGTTGTCTCATTCCATCATTTAGAGTGTACAACACATGTAGTAAAAACCCCAAATGGGTGTAGGAAGTTTCCCCCAATTATTATTGCTATTTCTGGCCGGTTGGGTCAAAATAATACTCGGGTTGTCCAAATATTTTTGTCAACTTTGGTTGGCACTTTATTGGGCTCTTAGAATTATTACGATAACCCAACTAAATATTTGGTAGCTCATTCTCAATATTACGGGCCCGATAAATTATTTAATTAATCACACATTAATTAAATCCATCATTCTTTCATGCGAGAATATTCACTAGAAAAATTCAAATACATACTGAATTTTAAATTCAAGTACATCCGGGTGCGGTGTCACAAGTTCACCCCCCCTTAACGGGAATTTCGTCCCCGAAATTCACAATGCTTACTCGAACAGAAATGCATATTGCTCTTTCATTAAAGCTTCCGCTTCCCAAGTTTCTTCCTCAACTCGGTCACTTTTCCAAAGGATTTTAACCATTGGAACTTTCTTGCTTCTTAGCTTCTTTACTTGCTTGTCAAGTATTTTTACCGGTTGCATGGCGTAGTTCAAGTCTTCCCGTATTTCCACGGGTGGTTTCTCTAGTACATGAGAAGGATCTGGCATATACTTTTTAAGCATAGACACGTGGAACACGTTATGTATCTTCTCCAATTCTGGAGTCAATTGCAATCGGTATGCTACAGCCCCAATTCTCTCAAGAATTACAAATGGCCCAATGTATCGTGGGGAGACCATTGTCTCTCCCTGAAATCCTCCACCGATCCCGCTAGCATGCGTTCTCGGACCTTCATCAGTTTTTTTGTGAGTCTCTTGACTCTTCTTGATCTCATCAAGTTAAGTAGGTCTCACTCAAATCATGTCAATAAGGCACCATCGCTAGGTACCTCCAATTGGGCTCTCAATGCCCTCAAACTAGTCAACAATGCCCCAGACGAACTCTTTCGGCTCAAGGCATCCGCCACCACATTGGCTTTACCGGGGTGGTACTCAATGATAAGATGGTAGTCTTTTATCAACTCCATCCATCGCCTCTATCTCATGTTCAACTCTTTCTGAGTAAACACGTATTTCAAGCTCTTATGGTCAGTGTATATATGACATGTCTCCCCGTAGAAGTAATGTCTCCGAATCTTCAGTGCAAATACCACTGCCCCGAGCTCCAAATCATGAGTAGGATAATTCATCTCATGCTTCGTCTTCAACTGTCGTGAAGCATAGGCGATTACCCTTCCCTCCTGCATCAACACACATCCAAGCCCTTGGATGCTTGCGTCACTATAGACATCGTACCCCACACCCTGTTTGGGTAATGCGAGTACCGGTGCCTCAGTCAACCTCTTCTTTAGTTCAATGAACCCTTTCTCACATTTGTCATCCCATACAAACTTAGCTCCTTTACGAGTGAGCTTCGTCAATGGTGATGCCAAAACAGAGACTTCTCCACGAACTTTCTGTAGTAGCCTGCCAAACCAAGGAAACTACGAATTTCCTTGACATTCTTTGGCCTCTCCCATTCGGTAATGGCTTCTATCTTCTTGTTATCAACAGCAATTCCCGATCCCGAAACCACATGCCCGAGGAAGCCAATCTCCTTAAGCCAAAATTCACATTTAGAAAATTTGGCATAAAGTTGCTTCTCCCGCAGTGTCTCGAGAACAAGTATCAAGTGTTCCTCATGCTCTTCTTCACTCTTCGAGTAAATCAAGATGTCGTCTATGAACACAATTACGAACCGGTCCAAGTATTTATGAAATACTCGGTTCATCAAGTCCATGAATGCCGCCGGGGCGTTTGTTAACCCAGACGACATAACAAGGAACTCAAAATGCCCATACCTTGTGCGGAAAGCACTCTTCGGTATGTCATCCTCCTTAATCTTCAATTCACTACAAGAATTTTGACATAATGTGACAATTTTTTTCGTCATGTAAAATTCATTTTTTGTCACTAAAACTTTTACGTGACGAATTTTGATCGTCACAGTGATCGTCACCGTAGCTCCGTGGTATTAGGTAAATGTGACACATTTTTGATTCGTCACCAAATAAATAACATTAAATGACGTTTTAGCACTTCGTCACTATTATTGATCACTTTTTGTGACGCTAAATGTGTCACGTTTATAGCATTTTTTTGTCACTGTAATATGAATTTCGTCACCAATACTTGCACAATAAATGACGAAATCTTAAATTGTAAATAAAAAGTAATTTATGGTGACGATTCATACTATTCTCTAGCTAGTGTTCGGACTTGAAGTGACAATAAATTTGTCACAATGAGGTTAGTTATTTCGTCATAGTATTAAAAAATCGTCATTAATTAGCATGATTTAGTTACAACTTTTTTCGTCACCTATACTATTTATGGTGACAATATATAGTGTCACGAAAAAAATACAAACAATGACGGAAAATATTTTGTCAATAACATACTTCTTTTTGTGACAAAATTAGTTGTCATGACTTATGCATGTATAGGTGACGATTCATTTTTAATGACACTTACTTTTTGTAACATTTTGTACGCAAAATGTGACAAGTGTCATGCAAAATAAATGTCATTAAAAGGTACAATGACAAAAGTAATCTGTCATCTCTTATGAGTTAGGAATGTATAGTGACAAAAGCAATTCGTAATTGTGACATGGTAACGAATCATTTGTCCCAAAACCGTTTGTATTAATAAATGTTAATTAAATAGTAAATAATAACCGCTACTTAATGCTAAAACAATAAAAACATTACAAGATTCTGTAGTGTAAATTCTGGGGGATGGGACCAATAAAAGGGAAAAGGGGCAAATAAGCCCTCGAACTAATAAAAAAAGTGCAAATAAGCCCTTTTGTAAAAGGTTCTGTCCGATCATCGTCATTTGGGGAGGTTCTAAGTGGAATTTTTTGATGAATTTTTTTGAGCATCTTCTTCATTAAGTCTAGTTTAGCCATACCAAATTTCAGCTAACAATTCAACCGGGAAGGCACTCAAATGATTTTCGGAAATATACTACATTGTTTAACTGCGCAGTTATCTTCAAAAATTCATTTGACTGTCTTCCCGGTTGAATTTTTAGCTTAAATTCAGTAGGACTAAACTAGACTTAATGAATAAGATGCTCAAAAAATTTCATCAAAAAATTCCACCGTGAACCTCCCCAAATGACGATGACCGGACGCAACCTCCTACAAAAGGGCTTATTTGCACTTTTTTGATTAGTTCGAGGGCTTATTTGCCCCTTTTCCCCCAATAAAAAAACTGACTAGCTAAATAGTTTTAGAGCATTCTAATCCTATGCGGAAACCGTAACATACTTCCAACTATACAGGAACAATAAATTAAAAGCAAAATTTATAAATTCATTCCTTGGGTAGCCATAAATGCCATGATCTTCTCCATTTTTGAATCTTGTTGCTCCATTTTGGAAGCTTGTTGAGCCAACTGGTTTCTCAAGTCAAACACCTCTTTTTCAGTATCTTCCACTTGAATTTTGACTTTTGAGTCCATCAAATTGTGTTTCAGAAACTTGTAATTTTTGTTGTTTGTTGAAGCTCATTTTGGAGGTGCTGAGTTTGGGAGTGATTTGCACCGTTGTGTCTGCTAGGTTTAGGACCATACCCAAGGCCTTTAATGTATCCAGATCCATGACCAAGTACCTCAAGAACTATATCATCAGTGCTCTTATCACAACCTTCCTCTTTATATTGTTCTTGTTTCTTTTTCATCAACTCTTAATTGGATAAATTAATGGCATAAAATAACATTACTTCTTGTCATATAAAATATTAGTTGTGAATAAAATAAGAAAAACAGACACATAACTTACCCAATTTTCTTCTGCCACCTTAGATGACCATCCCTTTTTCTCAGTAAAATGAGTTTGTTTATACAACTCAATTCGATCACAAGAATCACCATTTAGCTGCTTCTGAGACTAGATAAAAACATTTAGATTATCATAGATAAAAAATTTAATTAAAGAAGAGTATGTTAAATTATATAAGAGAATACATTTATCCGGAAAACACTAGTAGCAAATTGTGAACGTATATTGTCAAACGGGGTAAAGATAATAAATTTAACTCACAATTTCAAGTCGTCGTACAGTGAAGGGTTTTCTGCTTGAAATATGTGGCGCTCGCACCAGTTTCCTATTTTCCGTGTTCGCAATACTTGATTTCTACAAGTTACAAATATTGTAAGTATTTGTCTTTGCAAAGCTTTCGGTAGACAACTAACTTATGTTTTCGTTGATCACCTTGAATTTATCTGTTGCAAAGTAATCACACAACAACTCCCAATTGTTTTGGTCTGGATAAGAAGATGGCTTATTACTTTTAGCCAATTCCAGAGTTTGAAATTTCTTGTAATGAAGATGTAGCTTGTAACGCTTTTGTCGCGTACTACATTTCAGTCTTTCAACCAAGCTTTCTTTGACACCCGCGTCATCAATATTGACATCCATATGCAACTGCATTATTTTGAAAGCATTTTTCAGATTACAACAAAAGTAAAAATAACTTATCAATATAAAATTACATACCTGCATGTGATCAAATCCAGGAGCCAATCCATTTTCTTCATCTACTTCTTTCCACCTTCTAGAAACAGGAAGCACATCGCGAGTAATTATACCGATTTGACTTGAAAGCTTGGCTGACTCTTCTGCGTTCTCAGGTCTTCCAATTGACAGATCAACGTTTATCTTCACTTTAGTCTTAGAAGCATCATATGCCTTCATGATTCCCTTTCCCATTGTTTGACCACGTACTCTTTTAATAGGGCGTGAAGATGAATCGGTAACATGGTTGTTTAAGAAAGGGAATATTTCCCAGCAGCCAAATGAGACAAACTATTGTTTAGCTTAATCTCTCATCTCTTATCATTTTTCTCTTTTCCATACTCTGTTGTTTTCACTCCTTTTTTTTGTGTTTTCTGTTTACCACTCCTACTTTTGTTTTAGCCCTGGAAGAAGAAACAAACAAACTATTGCATGAGTTCAAGAAGCTAAGAGACAGAACATATTTGATAGCTACTATTCAAGTATTAATAGACATAACACTTATTTCAGTCCTTAACTCCTTATCTACTATGTTTTGTCTATATGGTGCTTTTATACATTACTCTTGTAATTAAGGTGGGAGTATAATATATTAAATTGATTAGTGTAGTTAGTACTTTTAGTATATATTAATAGAGTTCCATAAATTCCTAATATACCTAAACAGTTTTATTAAACTTCCATCCATGCAGACAACTAAATGATATATATGTACTGGTTCTTTTGATTCTTTCCATAACCAGTTCGTTATACTAAAATGCAAACATGTATCTATATATCAGCATTTAACTTCCATCTTATACGTAGTATTCCATTATAGATTGCATGAGTGCAAAAGATTGGGGTGAGTGAATTCTACTCAATAAAATACTCAATACACAAAAATGTGTTATACCTCCAACCCCATTTGATTGTGGTGTTAGACCATGCAGGCTCTCCATTGATACAGATTCAGAATTTTTATTTGACACAATGTCATGCCTTGGACTTTGAGGATGTCGAGTGTGAGATGTTGTGTCATCAGATGCCACATGCGATTTGTCAAAAGGTCTTTTGGTCGTTGCTCTTGTAATCAACAAATTACCTTGACCACTCTTAGAACCATGATGTAGAACATCTTGTTTTCCCAAGTTTATTTTCCGTTTTGAGTTACCCTTAAATCCAGGAGCCATTCCTAAGACACACATATAGATAGTATAAAAGAACAAGACTGAAATAGATACCAACTAAAACTATATCTACACACACTGTACAAAATAGTTAGCCACACACTGCACTAAAGTTATATACTAATATGCGTATAGTCAATTACATATGCACTGCACAAACTAGGCTCATACATCAACACAGACACTCATACATCATACAGAACACGCTAAAAGAATAAGCAAATTTTCAATTCAATACCCTCTCATACTGGAGAGAATGAATTGATTTGTACTAAAAACAAACAAACATGTTTGATAAAAGATTAATTGAATAAAAACTCAAATCCCTGAATTTATAAACAAACCATTTGATAAATTTAATGATAAAACTGTCTAACTAAAGCCATTGTATGTGCTTCATGTATTATATTGTAACTCAAAGTATATTATCGAGAATGATATAAATCAGTTAAAAAGAGAGTACCAATCTGAATTCTTATAATACAATACAATGGCAAAAACGATAGCAATGAGTTTACACTTCCCGTCCACAATGAACTACACATATGAAGGGTAAAGATAAAAATTATAAACCTGCGTTGAAAAGTAACTTGAAGAGCACCCCACGAAAGAGAAAACTCTAGGAAAGAGTAAAAACTAGGGTTGAGATATTGCGTTAAGGTGTCGAGAATTCAATTATAATAGAGAGTAAATTTTTAAAAGACCGCCAAAACCCAAAAAAATTGCGCCCAAACTAATTTAAGATTTTGTTGGTAACTGTAAATTATTCTTTTATTAATTAATATTACTAATAAAAAACTGAAGATTATTAACCAAAATAAGAGTTGAGATAACTCAGATACGAATCGTATGAATATGTATTTACATATTTAGTAATTTACTATCAGGGGTAATTAACAAATTTTCAGTATACATAATTTATTATATTTATTAACAAAATTATTCCCTCCTACTTCAAAACACTACTCCAGCTCCTCATCATCCAAATGAAAAAAAATAGAGACAATTACACATAATTAACTTCATTTCGATGCAGTTTTTTTTACTTTATATCAAATATTACGTATTTTTATAGAAAAATGAATAATATGGAAAACAAGGAAGACCAAAACATACCATTCGTGTAGAGCTTTTGAAGAGTATCCTCATCTTCCCCAAAATTGCATCACAATAAAACTTCGAACAAGCTACATAGTAGAATTAATCAGTCCAATATAATAAAACTCTGTTTGGGGCTAAGAGTTTTTTTTTTGACAGAGTTTGGGGCTAAGGAGGCGTTTACTTCGCTGCTAAAGTCACAGTTAGGTTAGTAAGACAGGTGAAGTAAACACGCACGCTGCTTAAAAAGCCGCTTACTAACCGAAATAGGTGCTTAAAGTGCCGCTTACTAAGCCTACCACACCCCCATGTATTAATTAAGCGGCACTTTAAGCTTTTTCAGTTTCCGAATTTACCCCTTGCCCTTACCCTATTGTTACCCCTGACCCACCTACCTACCGACCCCACCTTGACCCCAACCCCACCTACCCCACCCCTACCCTACACCTTCTATCCCGACCCTACCCTACCCTTACCCTTACCCCACCCCTACCCCCTACCTTACCTACCCCACCCCTACCCTACCTAACCGACCCCCACCCTACCCTTACCCCACCTACCTGACCCCACCTTACCCCTACCCTACCCCATCCTACCCCTACCCGACCCCACCCTACCACTACCCTACCTACCAGACCCCACCCCTACCCCACCCCTTACCCACCTACCCAACCCCACCCTACCCCTACCCTATCCGACCTCACCCTACCCCTACCCTGACCCTACCCCATACCCCGTCTGAACCCCACCCTACCTACCCGAACCCACCCTACCACTACCCCACCTACCCAACCCCACCCCTACCTTACCTACCCGACCCACCCTACCACTACCTGACCGCAGTCACCCCACCATACTCTTACCCCACCTACCCCATCCCACCATATACCCCGACCCCACCCTTTACCCCCACCCTATACCTAGGGTGGTGGGGTTGGGGTGGTGGGGTCGGGGTGGGGCCAATGTGATAGAGGCGTTAGGGGCAGAGTAGGTGCGGTGGGGTCGGGGGTAGGGTTGCGGCAGAGTGGGGTCGGGTAGGGTAGGGGTAGGGTGGGATTGGGTAGGGTAGTGGTAATCGGGGTAAGGTAGGGTAGGGGTAGGGGCGGGGTTGGGGTAAGGTAGGGTAAGGTGGGGTCAGGGTGGGGTCGATGCGGTAAGGGGGTATGGGGGTAGGGGCCTATGGGGTTGGGGGTAGGGTCGCGGTAGGGTGGGATCGGGTAGGGGTAGGGTCGGGTAGGTAGGGTAGGGGTAGGGGGTAGGTGGAGTCAGAGTAAGGTAGGGTGGGTAAGGGGTTAGGGGGTATGGGTACACATTTATATTATATACTTGTGTTCATGAATGTTTGTGTGTGTATATATGTATAGGGTTATTTTGGACATTTTAATGTTAAGCGGTGTTTTAAACCGTTTGAAGTAAACACAGTCTTACAACATTGTTTATTTTATGCACCGCTTATTAACACGGGTCTTAATAAGCACCGTTTAATAACCGGTGAAGTAAACGCCTCCTAAGAGTTGTGTGGTGGAAGAGTGAGTGCTCTCTAGAACCTAGGTGAAAGGATTAAATTAAAACAACAAAAGAGGAATATAGTAGAATTAATGCCATAAGTTGTGAATGAGTCTTCAATTTTAATTTTGGAAGATGGTTGCACGTTCGGATCAATTTTATACACTTTTAAGTGTGATCAAATCTGCTCTGAACTCATCTGGTATAATGAATGTTTTTTATTTTACTATTATTGAAGTTTAAGATGTTTTTTTGAAGTGAAATTTTCTAGTCTAGTTTGGTTTGATTTGGTCTAGTCTGGCTTGTTCGAGTTTGGTCTGATCTGGTCTAGTAAATATTTGGTTTCTATGTATTTTATAAATATGGAAGTTTGGTCTGGTATGTTTAAGTTTGACATGTTCTGGTCTGGTCTGTTTAAGTCTAGTCTGATTCGTTTAAGTATGGTCTAGTCTGATTTGATACGATATATTAAAGCTCCATCAGGTCTAATTTGGTATGATCTGGTCTGGTACTGAAATTAGTATAATTAAAAAAAGGGAAAACTGTCAAATAGATCCTTCTACTTTTACGAAAAAGTCAATTGGGTCCTCGAAGTTTTTCACGAATCAATTGAGTCCACGAAGTATTAAAAAACGACCAAATCTGCTATTCCGTAGGTCATCTTCAGGTTTCCCAGTTTGTGCCTACGTGGATGTCTAGTTGGCCAATTTTTAATCTTTTACTTTTTTTTCTGTTTCTCCTTTCTTTTTTCTTTCTATTTCTTTCTTTCTCTTTCCCAAAGACCGGGCCCGTCCGCCCGTATGTTTTTCCCCCCATTTACCCGTTCTTCTTCCCCCAATCCCTTGCATTTAACCGGGAAACCGGATGATGACCTACAAAATAGGAGATTTAATCATTTTTAATACAAAATAGTTAAGTTTACTTGATTCATTATGAATAAAATGATAAATAATATGGGGTCATAGTGTCATTATCTATTAATATTAATGTTACTTATACTATCATATAACTTTTCGTTTTACTTTTGCTAAAAGATATTTTTTCAAAAAAAAAGTATGACACATTTATGTTGATCGTCATTAAAAGGTAACATTAATGACAAAATAAAATTGTCATTATTTTACAAAACAATTAGTGACGAAATATGATTTTGTCATAATAATTAAAAATTACGTGACACAAATTATTGTCATTATATGTTTCTAAAATGTCATCAAAAGAATTCCCTCCAAATTTTTGGCGTCAAATTTTGGCGCTCAAAATTTAAGTGACAAATTTGATTTTTTGTCATAGTAAACATCAATTAGTGACGAAATATAAGACTTAAAATGACGGATGATAATATTGTCATAACATAACCTTTTATTGTGACGAATTTGAGTTTTGTAACTAATAATGCACATAATATGACAACTTTTTGTGTGTCACATATTTTGTTGTCATAAAAAGTGTGATTTCTTGTAGTGATTGATGGTACCCCCGACCTCAAGTCAATCTTTGAAATCACGGTTGCTCCTCGTAGTTGATCAAACAAGTCGTCAATCCTAGGCAAAGGATACCTATTC